TAAGATCGCTAAATAGAAACATAACTCATTCTATAGTGAATCCTTCCTAGGGGTGAGAATGTCTACTTTTTGAAAAGTTTTTGTGTCTCATGATGAAAACCTGGTTGTTTCGTACAAGAGGTTGTCTGTCCATGCTATTAATTTTTCATTCGCAAAGACAGGCTCACATGGTGAATACCTTATATGTACTGTGACCTATCGCTTCACTTATTTTTCTTATTTTATTTGAAATGCTTGAAGGTTGTGAGGGAACAGACGACTGTTATAAGTTACTGCAGAGGTGAAAAGACACAACCTCCTGCTGCTCTGAATCGCTGACAAATTTGGTTCTCCCGTTAAACAACTGTAACTAGCTGTTTTTGTTCGACTTCACACACACAAGGATTCGCTGTTGCTGACATAGCCATCAAAAAGGAACTGATAAGATAGGAATTGCATGGACGGAGGATCATCAACACACCCTCTATTAAAAAGAATGTTGTTTCTACGCTGAACGTCTGTGAATATTATGAAACCAACGTTAAGACTTTCAAAAAGATAAAAACGAGCTGCTGGAGTCAATCGTTCAGAGATACTCATCAAAGTAATTGGCGATTCTTCTGAGACACCTGCATCTCATGTTTCGTTTGGAAGTTACTAGAGATGAAGTCATTATAGGACGACAATAATGTAGGACACCTCAATCGTCAGTGGAGTTCATTGTAAAAAACTAAATGTGTTACAGCTCTTGACTTTAAGCTCTAGACGTTAGGGATTTCAATTAAAAATACAATTGTAGCATATGTGTATTATGGCCAACTATTTTGTAGCTGTCTTTATAGCAGACAGGTTGATTTGGGTACCATGTTCGATGATCTACACCATATTCTTCTTCACACTTCTCAGATTAATGACTTGTATACTCTAGATAATGTAGTAGTAAACGAGCACAATATACTTCACTCCAACAAACATCCAGGGTTTCATGACAAAGTATAAATTACCATGAGGAACGACTGAAAATAGAACTAGTATGCAATATTTTCAAGATGTCATGATATTTCGGGTTACATTGAACACAATTAAAAACAATCGATCTGTTTTTCATTTCGAAAAAAGGCCAATACGATGGTGACAATCATACAGAAACGTACTTGACCTGATGAAACTGATAACACTGGAGATCCTATATGTCAAATTAATGTACTTTTTTAGGAAATAATTTCTCAATGTCCCAATGTAAAACATCAAATAATCATTACTGACGTTCCCATAACAAAGGTGAAACGTTTTAAATATCGTTAGATAAAAAGTTGAATAAATAGTTGATGAAACATACATGCTCTTATTTTTCAAGTTAGTTACGATAGTGAACAAAGGAAACGAACGTTCAATTAATGAGCGTAATACGTGAAAAACGAAATATTAGTCTATCATACATGGTAGCTCGTAATTCATTGTCTGAAGCAGTCAGTTGAGTTGCTCATGCGTACGATTCATGTAAACTGTATTTGAAATACTTCGATAATCTATATCATGCAAATCTGCTATTGTACGCCTGATGGCAATTCAAGCAACTGGTTTTTGATGTAGATCAAGTATCTGATTGCAAATGCGATTCAACATATATATCGGAACCGAAAACATATTTGTATCAAAATACCATCATGAATCATGTTTGCTGTGGTGGTCATTAAGTGTACAGCAGTTAGATGGATGAGACTGTGATCCTTCATGTGACTCAATGATCGAACTCTTGAGTACGTTTTTCTGAGATGTTCACCATGTTAAACATGGAAATGTAAGTTTCAGAGGAACGAAGATGAGGTTTCCACTCATTTTTCGAAATTTTTTAAACGCATTGTATGAATAGAGATAGACATATAGATATTATTGTCTTACTTCCTAAAAACGAGTTCATAATAATGCGCCGTAAGTCTGTCCGAAG